AGGCTCTCTGGTATTTAGTGTATGGGGAAAATTGCTGTGTTAGAACCCCCAGTTCCTGGGTTAGGAGGCTGGTAATGGCAGACCAGGGTTTGAACCTGTTTGCTTTCCCAACATGTGTTGTGTTTCTGATGCTGACATGTGTGTGCCACTAGGAACACGCTCCTTGCTTCCAGTGCAAAGTGTGAATTTGGGGCCCTGGGGAAAACAGGATCTGGTTGTAAGCAGAGCCCTCTGCTGGCTGTTGGGGTCTCTAGCATCTTCCCCTCTCCTCTGGAGTAGGGCCAGCCAGGACTCTCTCCCCAGCCATGATTTCACCATCACTCATCTGCATGTGCACCGGAGTGGACAGGGTCTGCTTTCGATCCTTATCTCTCTGGTGGCGGGCTCTCAGCCAGCAGGCAGATCAAACGATGGAATGTGTTCGCTTGGGCATTTTTTAAAAAATCAAGGTCCAAGGGTTCACTTGTAAAAGATGAGGGCGCCAGGGAGCCAGGGATTAGATTATCTGGAGAGTTGAACCACTCTGGCTTTGTGCTTTTTTTTTTTTTTTGAGGGTTCATCTCAAGTTTCTTTTTCTGGTTGGACAAGTTTTTTTTTTTCAAAATTAATAACTAATGGAAAAGAGGAAGAGGCAAAGTAGAACCATATGACAGCACACACAGGCTTGCCTGTGGCCGGAAACTTCTGATTTGTGTTGCCTTTCATGCGATCAGCTGTTGGGTTAGATAGGAGGAAAGCACGCCATTTGGGCAGGAGCAGCACTGAGATGTGTTTCTTAACCCAGCTGAACTGTGTCCCTTATGCCCCTCCATAGATGCTAGCTACTGGTTTGGGTGACTCTAGGCAGCTTGTTTCGCAGGCCCCGTGTGCCCCTTCTTTAAAATAAATAGTTTCTATGCAGACCTGCCCTGGGGATCGGCATGAGTAATGCCAAGAGACTTGGTCCCACAGTAACAGACACTCATCTCTTTTGTGGTTTATTATCGGCATTATCTGGTATAGGGTTTTGCTATGTTGCTTACACTGGTCTCGAACTCATGGAGTCAGGTGATCCTTCTGCCACGGCCTCCTGAGAGGTTGGGACAACAGGCATGTGCCTCTGTCCTGTCCCCTGTTAAAGCTTTCTTTGCTGTGCTTGGGCTGAACCCAAAGCCAGACAAGAGTACCTGGTGGTTCCTGCCCCTTCGCTTTATGCAGTAAAGAATGCTGCACTCTGAGCCTTCCCTCTGGGGAGAATGCAGGCCCTATCCCGGCAGCATGGTGTTACTATTCCAAGTCACTGGAAATGCAGTACTCCCAGCAGCCTGGGATGGCCAACACCTTGGTTAGGTAAATATTCTGTGCAAAGGCCAGTGATGGCAGGTAGGTCAAGTGTGCAGTTTGAGGAGCAGCCAGAAGCCATTTGTGTGGCTCTGCTCCTCACTTTAAAGGCTGCAGAGCTGCCACCCCACAGCACACAGTGGACTCTTAGCTAGTTGGACCTGGTCATGCACTTAAGTTGCTCTGTAAACTTTTGATTCATGACACCCTGAAGTATGGTACAGCCAGTGGGTAGGAGGAACTGAGGGGAGAAGCTTTGAATAATTGACTGGGTTTCAGAGATAAGCAGCCATTGTTCTCCAGTGTGATCTCAGGCACAAGATCCCATGTCCACTCCATGGGACCTGAGTATAGATCGAGACCCTCTGCAGCTGATGGGACACAGTGCTTAGCTAGGGGTGCCCTCATGGCCTTGGTGGACACAGCATTAACCCAGGAGTGTTGATGAGGGTCAGGGAAGAACAGTCTACTGGTAGAATTATGACAGCCAGCTCACACTTATTCACGGTCCTACTGACACCAGTGTTACTCCAGAAATCACTGTAGAGAAGTTGGAGTACAGGATGGGTCTGCAGGAACAGTGGGGCATAAAAGGGAAATGTGATTGACTGTTAGTTTGAACTAGTAAAAATAACTGTCCCGTGTAACATTTGAGACAGGGTCAGACTAAAATGGTCTTCATTGTAAATCTGAAATTCACATTTAACCGATCATCTTACAGTTTATACACCATCCCTCAGTGGGGAGGGTTTTTAAACAAACTTACATGTTGAGGGGGCAGAACTGGTAGGTAGTACCCCCAGTGCACCCTGGGGTAGCTACTCCCTGCCACATTGTATAGCCTGTACTTGTTTCCAATGACGACCATCGTGGTGTTGCTCCAGACTTGATTGCCTTTGGTCAGAAGAAGAGGGGACAATGCAAATAGAACTTAAAAATATGACCCAACTTGAGAATTTATCCTTAAGGAACTCAGCGGATGGAGAGCCAGCCAGCCATGACCCACCCCAAGTGCTGGTGCGCTGGGGTGTATCCTGTGTCCTGCATGATCTCTGTGTGTCTTGCATGATCTCCGTGACTTTCCCATGTGCCGCAGGGGCTCAGTTGAAGTGTAAGTTCTTCTGTGGTTGGCCAGGACTAGTGGGCTTCCAGAAGTCCAGGGAAGCTCTTCAGGGGTGGCTAGTCTCTGGTGTGGACTGCCTGCTCTTTTTGACAGATTTTTAAATATATATAAGCAGGGTAGTGACCCAAGATCTTCTGGTTGTCTTTCTAACGTTGCTGTGACTCTTCAGGCTGGGTTTGGGGATTTGATTTAGTGATGGGATTGGTTGACTGTTTTTGAAACCCTGAGGATTGAGCTTAGGACCTCATGCATAATAGGCAAGCACTCTGCCACTGAACTATCTATATTCCCAGACATCTATTTTTTCTTGAGACAAGGTCTTAAGTTATTCTGGTTGGTTTGAAATTCATTCTACAACCCAGGCTGTCTTTGGACTTAGGATCCTCCTGTCTCAACCTCCTAATATCTAGGATTATAGGACTATACCACCAGGCCTGGCCATGCTGACATTGAACTCATGGGCTCAAATCCTTCTCCCCCACAGCTGTGCCCAGTTAGAAACTGAGCCTCTTTCTGACAGCTCCCATCATCTTGCCAGCCTGGCTTGTGAAGGAGAACCGGCTTCTCAAGCATCCTGGGCACCCACTGTCTGAAGCAGCGTGGTGCATTGAGGTGCAGAGAGGCCTGGCATTGCTAGCCAATATTGGCAGACACCTGAACATTGGGTCCAGAGGAGGAGAAATAGGAGGTGCCAGGACTGACTTGACATTTCCCTGTGCAAGGAGTCCCCAGCAGCAGCCCAATGGCATGATTGGGTCCTTGGTGACAAGCTTCAGCATGAAAGGTGGGCATGCAGGTGCCAGGGTCATTTCATTAGGCAGACCAGCTGCCTCATGGACGCTTGTGGCACATCCAGGGTGTCCCAGGTGGAGCACTCTAGCTATAACTGAGCACAGTGTGGACTGGGAGGAGCTGTGCACCTTTGTCCTTACTGTCCGGAGAGATAGAACGGAGGATCTTAGGAATCACCTAGACCTCATGTGGATTTCTGTATTTACTACTGGCTGTAGGTGTGAACCTTGGGTAGCTTAAGGACTCGGGGCCTCAGATCTGTAATCTGTAAAACAAGGCAGTGACTACCTCCTTGACATCCTCGTATGGCATTCAGGTAAACAGCATGCTTTGCTGTACCTAGCCCAACATCATATACAATACCCAGTGAGCACCTAGACATGAGAGTGATGTCACCAAAGCAGACTTTGAAAATTAACCCCACCTGTTGGTTTTTTGGGAACACAGGTGCAAATGGAGCAAGTTCTGTTTTCCTTTAATTTTATATATATATAATTTATATAACTTTATTTTATGTGGATTGGTGTGAAGGTATTAGATCCCCTAGAACTGAAGTTACAGGTAGTTGTGAGCTTCCATGTGGGTGCTGGGAATTGAACCTGGGTCCTCTGGAAGGACAGCCAGTGCTCTTAACCATTGAGCCATCTCTCTAGCCCCTGACCAAGTTCTGAAAACAAGCGTGCCATGCTTTGGCTGGAGGCGTGTACTCTTTCTCTGGGACGGATGTATATGCAAGTGATGGACCATCCCATGGAGCAGGCTATGCTGTAGTGCTAGGTATCACTTCCCAAGTTAAGCAGTGATGTGCCCCGAGGCCAGCAGCATAGCATCAGAGCCTACTTGCCCTAGTGGTGCTAGCCACTGGGGCACAGGACCCGAACTGCTGATAGCCCCCTCTGTTGGCGGTCCCTTTTTCCAAGAGTTATTGGTGTGGTAAATGATGAGGCAGGGTCCCGTAAACCCAGACCCTGAAATGAGAAAGTCAGGACATGGAAACTGGAAGTGACTCAAGCATAAAGGCATCCGCTTCTGCGAGGGTTGCCATCCCTTCCTGGAATATTTGGTGGAAACTGATGTTTGTGTTGGGAGGAGGCAAGCCCCAGCCTGCCCCCTCAAAGGTTGTGGTGGCCACTGGCAGTACCCTGTAGTTTGTTCCAGCCACCTGGGCCACAAAGCTGTCTCCCTGTCTCCCTCGGCTGTGCACCCAGGAGAAGCTGCAGAGGTAAGCTGGCTGCTCTCTGCTGTGGAAAGTGTGTGGACAGCCACCTCTGTAGCAGATACAGCTGGCTATGGGCAGCCTGGTAATGCTTGGCCAGGGGCCTGGAAAGTGCTGGAAACCCCACCCGGCATGGGGGAGCCTGTGGGAGTTCTCTAGAGCCTGGTTATTCTTTGAGTTCTTTGCATTCCTGTGTATTTGAAGTGTTTTGCCTTCTTCTCAAGGCCTGAGCTGGTATTTTGTCCACCAGAGACCAATACCCAGCATACACGTCCTCATACTCATAGACCACCCTGGTGGTCAGGTAATTAAAGCCACACCCGGGTTTGGAAAGAAAGCTACATTGGAAGTCACGCTCCACGACAACTCACGACCAGGTTTCTTTATAGAGAAATACAGTTGGTGTTGGCACATGTGGAGAGGAACAGACTCAGAGTTTTGGCAGGGCACTACAAGCCAGATGTCAAACCTGACCTTGTTTGTGGTGGCGGAACCTGAAGTAGAGGTGCTCCTTTAACCACATTTCTCCCTGTCCCCTCTTTTCACCAGGTCCCCAGTCTGTGTGAAGATCTCCTGTCTTCTGTTGACCAGCCCCTGAAAATTGCCAGAGACAAGGTGGTGGGCAAGGATTACCTTTTATGCGACTACAACAGAGATGGGGACTCCTATAGGTGAGCTCACACAGCAGTGCTCGTCTCCGCCGCACCAGGGTCTCCCCCGCTTTCTGTTTGTCCTTCTTTCTCCTCCCCCTTTCAGCTATCCATCCAGTCACTAACAGGCGTGTGTGGGTGCCCCCCCCCCAGCACTGGACAGAGGACCTCAGTGTCTTACAGTCTAATGGAAGAGCCACGCTGTTTCAAAGCCAGCTGCCCCAGGGGATGGCATGTCCTTCCTTCCTCTCTCTCCCTTCCTTTGCCCTCCACCATGTGCCCTGCTGTAAGAGACCAAGCTGATATTGGTCTCTGCCCAGGAAAACACATCCAGTAGCTGATGAACTATACTGTGGTTCATACTATCAGTTCAGAGTTGGCTCGGGACCTTGAGGGAGCCTAGAAGAAGCTGTGGTCAACTCCAGAAGGACTTTGTGAGACAGATGATGCTGGGCTAAATGTTTATAATAGGATAAAACTAACCAACCAACCAACCAGCTATTTTGAGGGAGTCTCACTATGTATCTCTTGCTGGCCTAGAACTTGCTCTGTAGACCAGACTGGTCTCAAATTCAGTGATCCCTGTGCCTCTGCCTTCCCAAGTGCTGGGATGAAAGGCATGTGCCACCGTACCTGGCACACTTGGGATAATTTCCCTTAAAAATTCCAAGTGTGAGAGTCCCCAGAACATTCCAGGATTTCCTTGGGCCTACACACACTGTGTTTGGGCTTAGTAGAGACACACTGTGCACTCTTTGGAGAGTGTTGGAGAAGCAGGCAGAGTGCCTGGGAGCAGCAGTATGGGCTCCACACCAGCACTGGGAGTTTTAGCCAATCCCTTGTCATCTCCGCACTACTGAACAGAAACGGTAGTGGTCATTCATCTCACAGAGCGCGCAGAAGCATCATCCTGTAAGTGTCACCTGTGCTCCGGGTCCTGTTCACGGCTTTTTTTCTTGTGAGGTCCAGACAGGTCATAACATAAGCACATGCATAAATGGTGAAGATTGCAAACACTGCTGAAGAGAACGGGGCAAGAGAGGGACAGGCAAAGTGGGTAGCCAGGGGTGTGTAGGTGGAATTTTCTGTCCTGCCAACTAACTCCCAGATAACCACACAGAGACTTATTAATTACAAATGCTTGCCCAGTAGCTTAGGCTTGTTACTAACCAGCTATTACAACCTAAATTAACTCATGTTTCCTATCTGCGTTCTACCACATGGCTTGGTTCCTTTCTTCAACACATCTTCTTCGCCAGTCTCCTGACGACTCCACCCTTCTTCATCCCAGGGCTCTCTCCCTGTCCACAAGACCTGCCTAACATTCTCCTGCCTAGACATTGGCCATTTAGGGGAGTGCCTTGAAAGTGACAACCCTGTGGTATGCCAGGGAGCCCATGGCCACAGAGAAAGCCCTCACTTAGTGTGGGGCTCACTTAGGGCTCCCTGCGAGTCTCGTCAGCGCCGTTTCTGAACACTCAGGGTAAGGTAGCTGCTATGTTGGAGCTCAGGGAAGGACGGGATGATGTCCGGCTTGTGTGCCCTTCCCGCTAGGGCTTCGCCCTTCCTGGGTACCCTGCAGGCCCCACTCCAGCTCCAGAGGGCTCTGGGGACCTAGGCCTCACAGGGGAGCGGAGGAGGTAAGGAGAGAGCTTGACTTCCCTCTCCCCTTCTGGATCTGAAACTTCAAGGTCTTCTGATTTTCTCCACACATTTCCATCCTGTGTTTGATCGTTTGCTTAAATAAGATCCGTATGACTCGGCCGCTGCCAGCAACACTGCTTGAAACCTGTTAGCTGAAACAAAAAGCCTTCTGGGGAAATGAAAGGCCTGACTTTTGAAATCTAAGCATTCCTGTCCATCTGTCTTTTCTCAAATGGCCTCCATTTAAGCTCTTAAATGTGTTCTGAGTGCCCCTTCCACTAAGAATATTCTGGGTAATGTTATGATTTTTTTCCCCCAGCTACAATTACCCCGGCTCCAGACCTAACGGCTTGAAATGCCGTCGTCTGTGAGGCAGGAGGAATGTGTAACGCACTCACAGACGTCTTACTCTTCAGGCCCCAGTCTGCATGGGATGGGTGATTGCGTCCTAGCAGGTTGCTTTGGTTTCTGCCTAGATTTTTAGCCACATTTTTTTTTACTCTGTGTGTGTGTGTGTGTGTGTGTGCGTGCGTGTGTGTGTGTGTGTGTGTGTGTGTGTGTGTGTGTGTGTGTGTGTGTGTGTACACATACAGATGTGCACACACTTGAGATCAGAACCTAAGGGAATTTGAACTCAGGTCATCAGGCTTGTCAGCAAGTGTCACCTTGCAGGTCCAGGTTGCCTTTCAAAGAGAGTGATGGGCTGGGTCTTCTGCGCCCATGTGAAGGCAATGGCGGGGTGGGGTGTGGATTCACCTTGCTTGCAGATATGTCAGGGGATTCTCAGGGGAAGCAGAGTTGGGGGGGCGGTCCAGCTCATAGTCCTGGGTTCATGCACACTGTTCCCCAGTAGAAGAGCCAAACCTCGCTGACTAGTAAGTAGTGACAGCTGCCAGCACCCTTCAACTGTCCTCTGAGATCTGAGGACAGACACCTTTCTGAGTGTCTTCCTCCCCTTCCTCCTTCTCCTCCCTTCCTCCTCCCCCCCCCCCTTCCCTTGTTTTGTTGTATTTGGAGATAGGGCCTAGTTAGATAGCTCAGGCTAGACTCAAGCTTGATCTTCCTGTATGGACTTCACACCTGCCAGGACTACAGGCATGTAATGTCACCCCAGTTCCATCTTTGCTCCCTGTCTGTTGGCCTGAAGGACCCTGCAGAGTTTTTTAGGATGTCATAAAGGCACCTTCATTAAAGACCCAAGCTAGTTCTGGTCTTGGAGTGTTCCTGGCTGTTCCCCCTTCTCCATCAATCTTGGGATCTTCAATCTGTTGGGAGGGGTGGACAGGCTTGAGCTTGGAAAAGATGTTTCTTGTTTTGTTTTGAAATCAAGCCTGGGAACTTGACATGGACAGGTTTCTCTGTGGAGGCAGATGCATTCGCAGCCCTGCCCCCCTCCATCATTGGAAACCAACAAGGAGACCTTTTTTTTTTTTTTTTCCTTTTTTTGTTTTCTGAGACAGGGTTTCTCTGTGGCTTTGGAGGCTGTCCTGGAACTAGCTCTTGTAGACTGGGCTGGTCTCGAACTCACAGAGTTCCGCCTGCCTCTGCCTCCTGAGGGCTGGGATTAAAGGCATGTACCACCATTGCCCAGCACAAGGAGACCTTCTTAAAATGCCTCCCATTGCTCTTGGTGATCTAATGTTCTCCTGGTTTGGGAAAAGGTGCTTTTCAAATGCAGCAAGTTGGGGGCTGGTTCTCTTTACTTCTGTGTGCAGGGTTCGTTGACTGTGTTCCCTAAGGAGGGAGGCACCTCCTGCCTGCTTCTCTGACTGACAGCTATCTTCTTCATACTTATAGTCTGAGGTCTGAGGAGCCTCCATCAAGTCAGGGAGAGACGGGGACTGGCTGACCACTTTGATGGTGAACACAGGGAAACACTGGTATTTGTAGCCAAGGCACTTGACGTTCTTCCTATCTGTTCCTCAAAACAGCCCAAGGGTAGTGAGGTTGTTTCCCACAGGAGAAAGTGAGGTTGGCGTTAAGGTGTTTGCTGGTGTTTGCAGCTGCATTTAGCCTGTCTGCCGACATCTGAACCTTTGCTCTGTAAGCCGTTCCAGAAAGCCTCTTGGTGACTTGGCCCCTGAACTTCAGGCAGTTGGGCTTGGGCCCTCTGTTTACAGGCCAGGGAATTCTGGAATGGTTCATAGGACCATGTCTTTCTTTGTTGCCTTCCAGGTCACCGTGGAGTAACAAGTATGATCCTCCTTTGGAAGATGGGGCCATGCCGTCTGCTCGCCTGAGGAAGCTGGAGGTAGAGGCCAACAATGCCTTCGACCAATACCGAGACCTGTGAGTTACTCTGCGCGTTAGCCCTTGGGACTTCCATGGGGAAGATCCTCTGTGAGAGGGTGACTAGGCTGAGGAGCCTCCCTTGCTCTGCTGCCTGGTCACCTAACTTGCTAAATTGGAGTCACCTGATGCAGACATGACCATATTATTCTGTTACCATTCACAACAGTGGCAAGTGAGTTGGAGAGTGAGTACGTGTGTGTGTGTGAGACAAGGGGCAGGCGTTTTCCTGTCTCAGGTTCCTACTGTCTCAGTGGGAGTAAGATGTTGGGTGCTACAGTGATGCAGTCAGCACATAGTGCTCGCACAGAGAGAATGAGAAGTTTGTCCAAGGCAGGGACAGAGCTAAGACTCACACATGGGTGATCACTCATGAATATGCAGTTATGATACAGTCTCTCTGCGTAACTTGGGCGGACTGTGTTTGTGATCATGTGCGGAGGATACAGATGTACAAGAACACACCACAGCTCTTAGATAGAACTCCGTTTGGACTGGAGCTCGGGGGCCCAAGCTGACTGCTCAGTTGCCAGAGCAGAATGAACCGGGGTGTCACGCAGTGGGACATGGCAGCCCTAACATCGTTTTTACCTCCCTCCCTTCCTTTGGTGCACGTGTGTGATGTATGGATGAATATGTCCTTGTGCCTGTATGTACATGTGAATATGGACACATGCACGCATGGAGGCCAGAGGTCAATATCATGTGTCCTCTGTCATCCCATCCCCGTGTTCCCCGTCCATCCGTCACCCCACCCCCCCCACCCCCCACCCCACACACACAGTTTCTCCCGCTGTCCTGGAACTTACTCTGTAGCCAAGACTGGCCTTCAATTCAGACATGCTCCTGTCTCTGCCTCCCCAGTTCTGGGATTAAAGGTGTGCACCACACTCTTCATCTTACTTATTGAAACAGGGTCACGCTGAACCTGCGGCACACCTGTTTGGAAACACTCACTGGCTAACAAGAATCCTCCTTATCTCAAGTGCTTGGGTTACAGGCTCACACCACCACGTCCAGCTTTGCTTTACATGAGTGCTGAGGGTTGAAACTCAGGTTCCCATGCTTGCATAGCCAGCATCTCACCAACCAAGCCACTTCCTTTGGCACCAGATGAACATCTGAGTCTGAAGCTAGTCAGGGCACTGGCACAGGAAAACATGCTCCTTTCAGTCCCTTTTTGCTCCAGTTTTGCGACTCTTCAAGGAAGGGCTCCAGAGAAGGTTATGTGTTTAATCAGTAGAATCTCATCTCACGTTAGGTTCTCTACTAGAAAAATAGTAATACAAAGTTAGTACAAATCCCATCCTCATCCCCCAACCCCCCCCCTTTCTGGAACAAGGGTTGGCACACTCCCGTGAAGGGACAGATAGTGATCACATTAGTTTTGCAGGCCACAGACAGCTGATCTTGGGTTTGTCTTTTTGTATGTCATCTTACAAGATGTAAAACTCACTTCTTGAGCCCTGAGGTGGGTGGAATTTAACCTCCATCTCTACTTGATTCAACCCTGGTCTAGCATAGTGGCAAAAAAATGGAGATGAGAGAAACAGTGAATTTGAACAGTGCTCTGTAGTTAGAAGACAGACCCAGGCTCCAGCATGCAGACTATGGACTGGTCTCCCTGTTCATTCACATCAGTTTGCTGAAACTCATTTACGAGGAAAGGGGCTCCTTCTCAGCCTGACACAGATGGTCACTAGGAAGCCGTCAGCATGTGGTCCCACTTTAGTGTGACCCCCCAATGCTACTGTTCCCAGGGTCCAGGAAGGCAGGCTGCCTCCAGACCTGGTGGGAATATACACATATTCTGGCAAAGCCACCCCTTTAGAAAGAAAAGGAACAAATGAACATGTAAACATGGGAACAGTCCCTCCGAGTAGGCCATGCTGGACCCAGGAAGGCTGGGTAACTGATGCTGCTGTGCCATGGGTGGGGCGTGTGACCGTCAGGCCCACCTTTAACTTCTGATTGTCTCCAGTAGTTCCGAGTTCTTGGGTCATGACAAATCACAAATCACAAGAATCCATGCTTGACCCCTCCCTATCATATGAGGAACTTCCAAGCTTCGGACACAGCAGTGTTACAGTTTCCTCATGGAGAGCACTGGGCTGCTGAGAACCTTCGGGGAGTCTCACCATCTTTTATACCGGGAAGGCCACACTGAGCCTGCTCATACAGGGGTTTGACACACATTGCAACCAGAATACAGGGGCTTAGATGCCATGGTCACTTACGTGCTACGACCTTGTCTTTATTGCTAGATTTCCTTAGAAGGAGAGGGCAGGGAGTGTGTGGGGCTCAGCCCTTTCAGAGATGGGGAGTGCTCAGGGCCTCCCTCAGGGTTCTCTGCCGTGAGATCCAAGAGGAGACGAGATTCTGTCTTCAGGCCTCAGCTTTGATCCTAGGTCTGTAAAGGCTTTGACTTTGAGGGAATTGGAGTTAATCACCCGCACATGGAGATCGTCTGGTCGGCGTGGCGGCTGGGGCCAGGGTGGCTGCCGTGCAGGCCCTCTGGCTTAGAGCTCCCTTGGGGATGTGGCACACATGCAGGCCTGTGAACGTTTCCCGGTTAGGGATAAAGGGCTCGCAGTCCCCAAGGCGGACAAGGGCAAGTCGGACTGAGGGAGTCAAGCTGGGGTCCTCCCTGGCTGCCTACTCCCTGCCCCCCTCCTCACTTTACCTCTCCAGCCTCCCCTCCCCCCACTTACTTTCTTCTTTATTTGCTGTCTTGGACAGAAATAATCACATGATTTTTTTTCCTTCCCTCCTGTAGAGTACCTGTGACAGCAGCGCCCCAACAGCCAAGGTTTCAGATAAAGGGTTGATTTGTGAAGCTGCCCGGGATGCCGGGTGTGCTTTGCCTCAGGGACAGACTGTAAGGTACCACCTGCTCCAAGTCCTCTTAGGTTCCATCACTTCCACCCTGGCCCCGGAGTCCCAGCTGTTCATCTCTCTCTCCCAAGTCCCAAGGTAGTTTTCTGCCCGTGATGGTGCAGCCAGCTCCATGTAGGGAATGTGTGAGATTCATGGTAGAGTTGAGAGGGGAGCGGAGATGGCGAGCTCATCGATTGCTGTACGTTCTTTCCCAGTGGAGGCCGGGGTCAGCTCTTCTAGGCCCAGACCTTGTCTAGTTCACCGTCAGACTTCACCGTGTGGCCTGAGACCTGTCTTCCTGGGGAGGAGCCTGGAGTGAACCCTCCCGTGTAGGGCAGTGGCTCCTCTCTGTGGGACAGGGCCATGTCACCAGCCAGAGTCACTACAGTAGACTGATAGGAGCCCAAACTCATCTCCATGATCTTTCGGATTCCCAGAGAAGATGGGACCTGCCCCTCTCCAGCTTTCGGGTTAGATGTGGCCTGGCCTCCGGTTCTGCCCCAAACCAGATGCTCTAACTGAAGGGGGGCTGGCACCACTCGCTTCCAGAGCTCATTACTCCCATCTGCACCAGACATCTTGCCCTGTGTGCTGCGATCCCTGGCTCTTTAGCTCAGAGCAGATAATACCTTCAAACATGCGGTTGCAATTTATTGGCCTTATAAGTTAATTTTAGGGGGTGTGCAATTGATTGAAATCAAAATTTAATGAAGGCCAGAGTCTGGGGGTCCGGGATCAGGGTGGGAAGGAGCCCTCTGTTCTTCCTTGTCTGGGGTCAGAGAGGATCTTCAAAAGCTCTAATTAGCTTTTCTAATCAACCCTGCTTTCCTGGAAGAACTTACAGAGTAGAACAAGGCTGGCGTTCCTGTGGCTATCCCAGAAGCCCATGGGCCTCTGCAGAAGCAGTTGGGGTGCTTGGTAGATGGCCCTTCTGGCTCTCTAGTGCCTCTTTCCTCTCTGCAGTCATCTCAGAACTGTGGCTGTTTCTGCTCCTTCCCAATGTGTGTGACTTTGGAGCAGCTCTGGCCCAGGGAGGCAGAGCACCCATATTTGTGTCTGAGAGCTTGTCACCTTGGTACTCTGGAACCCTGAAACTACATTCTGGGCTGTAGGCCCTGAGGTACAGCCCCTTGTGGGTGTAGGTATTCTTTGTCCACTCCTGTGGGACAGCAGGAGGTGGGGGGAGAGGTTTCCTTGGGAAACCCTAAGATATGGGAAGCCATGTCTGGGCTGAAGGATGCTTCCCCAGCCCTGGGTACAGACACCACCTGTGAAATCCCCACCTGTCTCCAAGAGTCGTCACAGAGTTGGGGGACCTTGGCTCTTTTTTGCCCTTGTCCACTGAGTGGACATACATACTTACTCTGCTTACAGCAGTTCCCCATGTGGATGCCTTCTCTGTGTCTGAGAGTAGGAGAGTAGCCTTGGCATAGTGACAGCCTATGTCATCAGTGTTGCTGGCCATGCTGTGCTCAGCCAACACCCACATAGCAAGGCATCAAACACATGTCTGGCAACTAGAGTTAATGATTCTTATGAAATCTTCCCTTGGGGTACCGTGAGGACACAGGCAGTTACTGACGTTTCCATCATGGTAGCTGAAGAGGCCATTCAGCAGTCGGAGAGAACATCCCATGACCAGGGTCAGGCTTTGTAGGTCCAGCCAAGATAGAGTCGGGACCAGCCCTGAAGAAGCCCATACAGAACTACACACAGATGAACAGATGCCTGTACTGTTCTGAAAGTGCCGAGATACGGAGGGACTCACAAGCAGGGGACTGGGCTGTAGAAGGTGGCTGACTGACAGCCGGGATGATTATCAGGTCTGTCCTGTGCAGGCAGAAAGCTGGCTTGAGACTGTGGGTCTCCAGAAAGCCTGCTGGTAAGGCTAGCCTCGGCTGGCGCTAGACCTTCAACTCTGGGAGCAGCCTGCCATCCCCCAATGAGGCATAAACTGTATGAATGGCTTGTGCAGAAGCCGCCCATCCCTTCCGAGAGCCCAAAGCCCTAGTACGAAGCAAACTCTATACCTGGATCCACTGCGAATGGGCCAAGGGGAGGAAGGCGCAAGCTCATTGTACCTGGGTCCCAGCCTTCTCCCGTTGCTGCTCTGGCTCTGCCCC